ATATGTGTGTGTGTGTGTGTGTGTGTGTGTGTGTGTGTGTGTGTGTGTGTGTGTGTGTGTGTTGTAATTAATGCATAGCCCTAAAGTGTGGCTTGATTTTACAAAAGCTTGCATACATCTATGCGATAATTCATGGTTATAGAAATGTACGCCTTGGTGGCTTGTCTACGGTATCTAGGTTAATTTTGTGCATTTCTATCTCTTATGTTATGTCTTTTATTTACTCACACTATCCTTTTTACATACACAATACATCTTTCGTACTGATGCCCTTTTCTTTGGGCGCTATGTTCATGCCCACAGGTATATATAGACCTGGTGACGTCCCTTCCGAGTAGGGTGTTTGTTCCAGATATTGGTCGTCGCACTCCACTAGTTCAGAAAAGCTGTTCAAAAGTCAATAGGTATCAAAGTGTATGCTCTAGTTATTTTGGGTACGGTGGAGCCCTGTCCCGACCAAGTTGTGTACATGTATTCTGTTTTGACACTCTTAAAGGCTTGTAGACTAGACTAGTGATTAGTATGTGTAAGAGAATGTGGTATCTCTGATGGAAACATATGTCTATATGTATGTGTAACTATATTAATGACAAGGTCTTTTCCACAACAAGTTATGTGTTCATTTAAATATTTACTTGGAGGCCTCATTGGCCCAGACTCTATGTTATAAGGTCTAAGTATGGGCGTCGGTTCGCACAGAACTTCGAGCGTCGTGTGTCGGTCGCACCTTCCAAGATTGGGGTGTGAAAAAATGGCACCATGTACAGGATTCGTACAAAAGCATTCAAGACAAAAATAACCTCGAAAGGTCGGGAAAAAGGCAGCCGGAAGGCCTCAGGACAAAAGGGAAGGCCCATGGCCCCCAAAGCCCAAAAAATCCTTAAAGGTGTGTCGCTACCAGATGGCCAAAGACCCCAAAAGTAGGATCCTATAAACGTAAGTTGCCTCAAAAGAAAGGCGCCCCTTTGAACATATTGTTGAAAATTCACCAAATGCGACAAACGTATTTGAAATAATTATTTTGCTAGAATAAATAAAATTTTATTTATTTCTTCTACTTATGTTTCCGAGAAGCTCCCCAAAAAAGCGTAATATAGCAGCCATCATTGCGAAGTCACAATTAACAATGGATTCTCCCTAAGCAATAACTCCAAGAGACCTACGAAACCAAATAAACATTTAAGAATTTAACGGAAAGGAAATAGGCATAGTCAAATCTACAAGAAAAGACATGTGCCTATGAGCATACTCCATTTCACAAAAAAGGGTCTGAAACCGGGAAATATATTAAAAACAACAAAAAACTACGAGCTCGGGCTAAGACCGGGGGCTTGAGAAGTTGACGTAGAAGGGGTATTCGGGTCATCATTGGCTGCTGGAGGGATTAAAGAATTATGGTCAACCTCATCCCCTCGTCTATGTCATCAAGGCCCTCCTCGTCCAAATCAGTACTTAACCCCTGCCTGTCATGAGAAAGAAGGCCAAGCAGTACCCGCATCTCCCTCGCATTGGCTTCAAGTTGAGAAAGCACAAGGTAATATCCAACTCTCCAATGTGCGCCTCATGGAGGGAGTTAAGGCGAGTCTCCGCGACTGCCCAGGACCAATCAACGATTATCCTCATCAAGGCCTCTTGAGCAGCCTCCGTGTCTCGGTTGTTAGCTAAGGCCCTCTCCTCAGCTACTTCCTATTCAAACTGCATGCCCCAAACATTGCCCTCTAATAGAGAGCAATCATCCCTCAGCCGCAGTTCCATGTTCGTCTTCTAAGCCAGCACCCCTTAGAGGACCTAAATTTATTTGGAAGCCCTAGATCGCTTAACTCGGAGGGAAGCCTCGCTTTCCAATAATTCTTATATCCTTTGATCAACACTCCTTTTTGTGTCCTCCGTCCATGTCTAGAAGGCCTCCTTCTCAGCCTTGAGCTCCTCGACCTCCTTATGGAGCTTCTCGTTTTCAACCTTCAGCAGTTTATCGAACCTCACGATCTCCTTAACTATGGCCATGCCAAACCAAACCTTCTTGAGGTCTAAAGAGGAGAGGCAACAAGCTTCTTTGAAAGAATGAAGAAGGAAAGAAGAATGAGAAAACAAACTCCAATAATGCGAGTACAAAAAGAAAAAGGTCCATAAGATAGTTTACCTTGGAGACTTCATGGATTATCTGTGTTACCAATGCCGCAGAGTTCATAGAGTCCATCTGAGCCCATTCTTGATGATTCAACAACTTGGGGAGTTGTATAGCCATGGGCCAGGGATTCGTGAAAACATCGGCACCACCGGGTAAGGAAAGACTGATGACCTTATAATTATTAATAGTGGGGCATGATGATATGACCGAAGCCTGAACCGGTATCTTAGAAGCATCCCCTGAGGGTTCCCTCTCATTCGTAGCTTTCTTTACATGAGAAGGTGGGCTCCCCGGACTCCGGGGAGATGCGACAATACTCTCTACCTCAATTTGGCTGGGGTGCCCTATTATTAGCCACTTTTTTGGGATCAAATCCGCTGCCTCCTTGGGCTTTAAGGCCATGGGATGAGGGGCTTCTTTGTCAGCTTCAACAGTAATGTGCTCGGCTGGGGTCGGCCCTTCTTGCTCAAACCTAGGGCGAGTCGTTCTTCTCTTGGAGAATCGCATCCTTTGCGGGATGATGGGGAGGGAGAGCACTGAAGAAGGGCTGGCATCGTCTCCTCCCGACACTTCAGGAAGTAGCTCTCAGAGAAGTTGGTGCCATCAGCCACTGATGGAAGACCTACTGGACCAGTAGTTGAAAAGGAACTCTCTTCTCGAGTCCCACCCGTGCAAGATTATAATATGAATTAGCAAGAAGAGAAAAGTAATAGTTTCAACCTAGAGAAAAACGTGATAGGAAAAGAAGATGGTTACCGTGGTACAACGCTCGGATACCGCCTAGCGCGGCACCGATAGATTTTCAAGTCCTCGAGTAGTGGTTTGAAACCTGTAGGATCTTGGACACCCAAGCCTTGGTGTCGCGCACCTTTTCAAGAGGCACCGCGACAGCTGCAAAGCCCAAAAAGAAGAGAAATAAAGGTCAGCGATGATTCAAGCCAAAATAAAACAAGGTGATTCTCGCACTTACGATTATTGTTCTATTTCTCTAGAAACCGAACTTTGTCATTCGTATAAAGAAACTTGGTCGAAACGAACAAGTACCTTTCGAACCACCAACGATTAAAGTCGTCCCCGCAGTCTGAAATGAGGGCCTTTGAACCCCGCTGCGTCATGTTAATTACTCCCCCTCGATAGATCTTGAGAGAATATAGATGAAGCAGGTGCTAATAAATTGAAAGTACACTTGCCTTTTTGGCCAGGTGGCTGAGACATATAATGAGCCTCCAGATCTGAGGGCCAATTTATGCCAAGAACAAGTTATACCGAATGCACATTTCGGCTACCACGTTATCAATGGGAGGGGAAAATCTC